TACTCCTTGAGTATATATTCACTCCTATTTTCTTTGGGAAATTTAATGAAAAAAAGTTAGAACACATCCATCAATTATTCATGACTTGTATCTAAAAGAACTAAAAATGTGCACAGGAAAAATCCCAAATGATTCATTACTCTTAATCACTTAATAATAATAACCTGAGTGTGGAAATTATAAAGACTCTGCTTCTTTGGACTTTAAGAAGCCACATTCTTTTCATAATCATGCCGTTTGATGCCTAACAGTGTACTACAGTGAAAGACAGTTCTCTCTTTTTTTATTTTTCCAAATTTATGATGGTACTTGTGAGAGACTGGTAATTTCTTCCTCTCCCTTGTTAGTGGACAATGGCCTGGTTTTCCACAGCTCACACAGAGACTGATATGCCTCTGTGTATCCTTGCTCAATCCCGCCATTCCCAGCCCATGTACATTCAGAGCACTCTTCAGTCACTAGAAAGCCTTGAAATAATCAGAGAGCATTGCCAGCTGGAAACCTGGCAGGATGCAGAGACTGGGCTCTGGAGTGACTATTACCCAGCAACTTAGGGAGTGTGTGTACATAGTCCCCAGGTTTTTCTGTTTTACAATGTAGTTTCTTAAAAGCTGGACCCCGGAAAGCTCAGTGGGAGTAGAATAGTTCACTTGGTGATTTATCCTTCAGCTGTCTTGTTTCTTTCCCTGAGTCACTTCCAATATATACTATGGATGGTGCACGCAAAACCTTAACTCAGGACCCACGTCTGGTAGGATACATAGTCAGAAAAGTGTCCCACAGCATCAGAAAACTGTCCTCACCAGCTGATGAGATATTCAGATAGATAGTGAACTTTTATATGGGCCCAGGCACAAATACAAGTAAGTAGGTTTAAGTTTTTTTGTCTATGGATGTTAACTATCTGCATTTTCTTTTGAGAATAAGCCATTGTTAGTTAATAAACTCTGATGTCTTTGTCATTCAGACTGAAACAAGTAAGGAACTCTCAATAGATTTTTTTGTGTTCCCAATACAAAGAAATATATTTTGTTTTACACATTAATAAATTTTTCTGTCATAATCACTTATATTCACAGCACAACTAATTAGCAATAAAAGCATACTTCTTTTACTGTGTCTTAACATGTTAGAAAACATTGTTAAGAGAGCAGGTCTCAATTGCTAGGTTAATTAAAAATAAAATTTTATTTCCTCTAAGAGAATTAAAAGGTCAAATACCTCTATCACATTTTTGAAATGTTTTTGCAGTTTATTTAGAGCATAAAAGGTCTATCATCCAGAGTAGTAATAAGTTGAAAATGTTTATTCTTTCTTCACTTTTATGAAATGTCACAAAATGCAGACAATAGGTAAAATGTGAATTTTATTTCAACTTTAACAGGATTTTAGAGGCATATAGAATACAAATGATGGAGAAGTGTTATTTTAAAAAACATTAATACATAATGTATACTGAGTAAGAAAGTGATGCAGGTAAAACCTGTGATAACCTCCATCAGTTAGTAATAACCCTCATTCCTAACCAGATTTGGGTATCCATATTTGAAATCTCACCTTGTGTGACTAGTTTCTCCTGAGTGAAAGCAGCACTTAACTAATAAATTCAAAGAAAGCAGTAAGGGTCAAATGACTATCATAAGAATACATCCTGGCTCTGTCTCCATAAGCACTGTACTGGCAAGTTTTGTGTCAACGTGACACAAGCTGGAGTCATCAGGATGAGGGGATTTCAATTGAGAAAATGTCTTCTTCCTAAGATCTGGCTATAAAGCTTTTTCTTAATTAGGGATCAGTGGGGGAGGGCCCAACCCATTGTGGGTGGTATCATTTCTTGGGTTGGTGGTCCTGGGTGGATGGGGAAACCCACAGAAACCTGCATAAGAAGGAACTAGGTCCTCTGAATGTGGGTGATAGTTGGGTGGCTCGGGCAGCTTGTGAGACCACTGGCAGTGGGACTAGTATTTATCCCTAGTGCATGAACCGGCTTTTTGCAGCCCTTTCCCTATGGAGGGATGCCTTGTTTAGCCTAGATACAGGGGGGACGACCTTTGTCCTGCCTCATGATGTGACAGACTTTGTTGATCCCCTTATGGGAAGCCTCACTCTCTCTGAGGAGTGGATGAGGGGTGGAGTTTTGAAGGTGGGGGAAAGCTGGAGGACTGGAGGGAGAGGGAACTGGGACTGAGGTGTAAAACAAGATTGTTTTAAAAATAATAAAAAGAAAGCAGGCTGAGGAAGTCAGGGGAAGTAAGCCAGCAAGGAGCACTTCTTGGTGGCTACTGCATCAACTCTTGCTCCAGGTTCCAGTCCTACTGAGTTCCTGTCATGATTTTCCTGATGAACGCTGATGTGGAAGTGTAAGCCAAAAGACCCTTTCCTCCCCAAGTTGCATCACAACAAAAGAATGCCTAAGACAAGCACATAGAAACTCATGGCCCATTTTCACACGGCAGTGATACTTTAGAAACTAATGCGGGAATCTTTTAGTTGTAGAAGTCTGTAAATTTCTGACTTTTCCAGTTGTAGGCTTTCCTGAGTTCAGTGATCCTCTCTACTGTACGTGCTGTGATAGCTTCAGGTATCTGGAGTTATCCTTTCTTGTCCATCTATTGCCCTTCTTACTGCTTCAAAACAACCTAATGCCAAATACCAGATCTCTTCTAAGTTTCCATTTAAAAATGTCCTCACAGATTTCTAAACACACCATGGGTTTAATTGCACAATAGCTGGCAACTGACTTTTGTTATCTTGACTACCACGTACTTATTCCAAACACTGTTTTTCTTCACCGTATCTCCATAATTTCACCCAGTTTTGTGTATAAACATTCTCATTTGGTCATAAAAAAGCATACCGAGGGTTTTTTTTACATTATGTATCAGCTAAGAATTCTGGAGTTTGGGTCATAGACCATTGTCAACATACACTAACATATGCTTTCCCTTCCTTTGAGGAGTCAACCCTTCTTTGTTATTTCAAAGGAGACAAGTGTTTCCACACTTCTGATGAACCATGAGCCTCACACAAGTCATTGTTCTTTTCCTCCTTCATCACTGGCGTCACTGCAAACGCACCTGAAATCCCCATGCCTCCTACACAGAGCTTCCAACAGTGAGTCAGGAGTAGGTTTAGTATTCTTTCCCATGCCTCCTTTCAATGTGATTGATCTTTGTCCTCCCTGCACAAGGAGCAGTACATTCTTTGTTAGGAACCACATAGCACACTGGAGTCCCTTTTATGTTAGCTTAGCCATCTTTTAAGTGATGTTCTCTGGGAGAAGAGCATAAAGAGCACCTTCTTTCTAGAAATCTGGCGAGTATGATATTGTACATCTAAGAACATAATGCCACCTGTATGACGTCTAAGATTTATGGGAGCCCAGTTTTAACCCTTGTTTTAAGCAGGAAATAACCCGAGGTTCTAAAGCACAAAGTCAGTGTTCAAAATGACAAAATGCCCAGTCTGAAGGACCGGAAACTGAATTAGTAGTGCACGGGCTATTAAGACTATTAAATTACTAACACACTCAAAACGAAACTGCCTCACAAAACGGAACAGTACTACTACAGACTGTACTGAATGCAGTGAATAGCATGCATGCCAAGTGGCAAACACTGAATTCATGACAACACGTTAAGGGTTTTTCTCCGTGACACAGCGTCAGAACCGCTTGGGTGGGTTTGAAATCCAGTTTTTCAGAGATTTCAGTTTTTTTTTCCCCCATAACCCGGATTCCTATCGTCAGGACCTAAAAGTACTAACTTGATACATGACCTTGAACAAAATGTTCCCTGAGTCACTTTCCTCACCTATAAAATAAAGGACTTGGTGGTTAGATAGCCTCGACGGTTGTGGGTGCCGGTGTAAGTGACCTCCCTCCCCGCCCCCGACTGTGGAAGAGCCTAGGCTCAGGTTCCCGAAACTGCCCGAAGCTATGCACACCATGCCTGCGCGCCGGGGAGCGGGCATTCGCGCGGTGGGAAGCTGTGTACTCCCTCAGCTGTCGCCTCTTTGGTTTGCCTCCCGGGTCTGTGTGGACACCACACCTCGCTTTATTTATTTATATCCCGGCTGGCTCCCAAAGCACGTCAGGCGCCAAGACACAGTGAGTCCCCGACGGTGCGAGCAAGAGATCCTCGGGTGACACCTCCCTGGGAACCCCGCCTCCCAGAGATGCTAACGAATGCCCTGGGCCGAACCCTGCCGGGTCCCAGCTGGGCTTCTGCTTTCCTGCGCCCCAGCCGTCCGTCCATCCCTCCCCGCGGGTCACTCAGACGCCCTTCCCGGACTCAGCCAAACTGTCATCACCGGCCGGGTCCCAGCTGGACCGGGATCCCGCCCGCCTCCCGCTCACGCCGCCGCTCACTGGCTGCTGCGGCCGTCACTCCGCGCCCGGCCCCGCCCCCTCTCCCCCGCCTAGCGCGGTTTGTGGACCCCCCCTCGGTCTCCGCGGCCGAGCCGCTGACGTTTGCCTGAGCCGCCTGGCCGGGGCTCCCCCCACCCCTGCGACCTTTCACCCCCACCCCACCTCCCCGCGGGAGCGCCCCGGCCGGCTCCGCGCCCCCGCCAGCCCCCCCCCCCCTTCACCGCGCGCGCGCCCCCGCCCGCCCGCCCCGCGCGCGCTCCCGCCCGCCCGCCCGCCCGCGGCCCCGCAGGCGGAGACTCCGGGCGCGGAGGCCGGCCCCGCGCGGCGCGTGTGGGAGTCGCGGCCCCTCGCGGCCCCCGCCCGCCGCCCCCCACGCGCGCGGGAGCCACGATGAGCGCGGGCGGGCGGCAGCGGCGCGGAGCAGCGCAGGCGGCACACGCGCCCAAGCAGCGGCGGCGGCGGCGGCGGCAGCAGCAGCAGCGGCAGAGGCGGCGGCAGCGGCAGCAGCAGCGGGAGCGAGCGCCGCGTTAAGCCGGGTCCGCCGCTCCGGCCGCCCGCCCGCCCGCCGCTCCTCCTCCCGCTCATTCACTCGCCCTCCTCCCGGCCGCCCGCCCGCCCGCCCGCCCGCCCGCGCCTCCTCCGCTCATTCACTCCCGCTCTGCCCGCCGCCGCCGCTTTCTTCTCCTTCTTCTTCTTCTTCTTCACCCTCCGGCTCCCACACCCCCTCCATTCCCGCTCCCAGCCGACACTGCACTGCAGCTGCTCCGCGCCCTGCCCCCTCCCCAGTGAGCACATCAGCCACACCGCTCGCCGCCTCAGACTGCTATTGATCCGATTAAAGAGAGAGAGAGAGGGGGAAAAAAAACTTAGCAACCCCAAAGGCAAAAGAAAAAAAAAAAGAAAAGAAAGGGAAAAAGGAAAGGAAAGGGGAAAAAAAAAGCCAAAACAAAAGGGAGCCGCTTCTCCCCGTGCCGCGGCAGGAACTGCAAGCATGATGGCGGCAGCTCCCATCCAGCAGAACGGGACCCACACGGGGGTTCCCATAGATCTGGACCCGCCGGACTCGCGGAAAAGGCCGCTAGAAGCGCCCCCCGAAGCCGGCAGCACCAAGAGGACCAACACGGGCGGTGGGTATCGCTTCCGCCTCCCGCCCCGTCCCCGCCGCCCTCCCGCGCCCGTGGCCGCCGCCGCCGCCGGCCGTCCCGCGCCCCCCTCCCCTGCACCTGCCCCGGCCCCCCGTCTCATCAAGATGGCGACCCGGGGTACCGAGCTGACCCGCTCGCCCCAGCCGGTGCTGGCCCCGGCCACAGGGTCCCCGCTCCCGAGGCCGACCCCCCGCGAGAGGTTGATGGCCGCCTGAAGATGCGCGCTGCATTTAACAGTCTGATCAAATAAAATAAATAAATAAATAAAAAATAAATAAATGGCACTTGGGTAGCGGCTTGCAGATGCTGGGGGCACCGGAGGAGACTTTTGCCTCGGTCCATCCCCTTGCTCTGGGCCACAAGTAGTATGCAAAAAAAAAAAAAAAAATCTTGATGAGTGCATGCCCTGAGCGCACTTACATGGTCGGTACAAATATCGCATTGATTTGTCTTCAAGGGTATGCATACGAGGGGGGTGTCTGGTACGGTGACTTGTTAGTTAACATCCTGCGCTTCCTCGGAAGATGAGTTATAACGGGACCGCTATCGCTTCTTCATTTGCACTGGAGTCATCTTAACAATGCATCCAATGCATCGAAGCAGAGGTGAATTTATCTCCAGCATATACATTAGAGATGGATGGGGGTCTTGCGAGTGGCACATCGCGGAATTCGGAATACTCGTTCACAGTAAAGAGCTGGATTTACCGGGAAGTTTCCTATTTAAGACGTGATGAGGTTGACGGAAACTAAAGTTTATGGAGTTGGCTTTATTTTCTGAAACATTTCATTTTTCTTTTTTCATGGCTCATCGACTCCTCTCTCCGTTTTATGGTTCTTTTGGAGAGGGAGCACGATCTGTGTGGTCACTTTGGAGTGTATTTAGGATAAATAACTCCTAAGCTTTTTAGTATTGGCAAGATTCTTCTTAAGGTCTTTTAATTAATGAGCTTAGACGAGATAATAGTAGACTCAGAAGTGCTACAGAAATACATCAGGATTACTTAGATTCTCAGTCCACCACATTGAGGCTCCCCCCCCCCCGCAGTTTCTCAAGGCTTAGAATAAACCCTACAGTTTGGGTGGACTGTTCTGCAGGAAGATGGTTGTTTTGTATACTCTGAGTCGGATGTAGTCAATGATTAATTGTAGTCTTTTATGCTTGCTATGCCAGAAAAATTTAGCGGATCACTATTTTACGCTGTTGGATTTTTTTCATCGTCAGTATGTTAAGTGAAGGTTTGTCATCTTCTAAATCTCTAAAGTTTTGTTAAAGGGTCAGTTTCTTTCATTTTGCCATAGTAACTACAGAATTGGAAGACTTTCAGGTTTGGAGTAACAACTGGAATTTACTCATCAGTTTCTACAGTGCTGCAAATTGTTAGAGCATGTGAATCCTAAAAACTGGGAAGGGTTTTGGAAATACTCGTTTTTCAGTGTAATTGGTGGTTTTCGTTCCTCGCGCATTTTTAACTGCTGTTTTCTGCAGCTCTGCTCCTAGTGCTCTAGCTGCTGTTTTCTCTCGGGTGGACTGGGGATTCCAAGTTTAAAATTATCATGTTAATCAAGTGTATTTCTTTACATTTTTCAGAAGACGGCCAGTACTTTCTAAAGGTTCTCATACCTAGTTATGCTGCTGGATCTATAATTGGGAAGGGAGGACAGACAATTGTTCAATTGCAAAAGGAAACTGGAGCCACTATCAAGCTGTCTAAGTCCAAAGATTTCTATCCAGGTAGGTGAAATGGTGGAGAAATTGTTTGATGAATCCCTAAGGAAAAACATCGAATATCTACATGTGTTGCGTGTTGTCTTAAAGAAAAATTTAAATGGTTGAGATTTGAATGTTACTACATTAGCATACATTGTGGAAAAAAATTTCAGCTTATTTCCATTGTTGTTCATGTTTTTTTCCCATTAATTGATACACTGTATATGTGATTTAGACTAATGGTGATACAGTTCTCTGGGTGTTTTGGAATGCTAATTGTTAGCACAAAAACTTGAAAATTAGAGATAGAAACCTGGACAGTTGGCATGAGGGATTGTGGTTCTTCTGAAGTTTACAGGCATCATTGTAATGGCAATTAGTTTAGAGTGAATTCAGAGGAGGGGGTAGGGAGGGTTCTTAAAGAATGGACCATTTACTTCTGAATTCATTATGTCCCCCTTTCTGCTTCATTGCTTTGTTTGTTGGCCTTGGATGTAGTAAAGAGGACAAGTGCTGTCTCTTCAGATATTTAAAATACCCCAGTAATATAACCGGGATAAGAAATTTCCTGTACTGCCAAGCAAGAAGTGAAATAGTGCTTGAGCATTGGTGTGAAGAGCCCACATTTGATTCAGACACTTCACAGTGTGGTGCAGTACCATGCCAGATTACAGCAGGTTTCCTAGGTGGCTGTGTGGTTGATTTTTGCTTTTTGTCCTTTTGCTTTGTTTTGCTTTACTTTTGGGCTCTCTTCCTTTGTGTCACCCAGTTCTTCATGTTTATCTTTTTCTTTCCTTTCTCCTTAGTTCTGTTACTCAATGCACATATTTTAAGAAGTGGAATCGCAGTGGAGTAGTACAACCCCAGATGAAATATCTGTCGTTAGGTGATTTGCTTCACTTAGATCTAGCTTCCTGTAATTTCGGGAGGTTGTTTTAGTTTGATGACTATAGAAATATTAATTCAGTGCCGAGGTGAGCTGTATTGCTTAGTTTTATTCCTGATGGAAAAGAAAGCAGTTTTGTTTCAGAGATCTGATTCACCAAGAACTCTTTAGTACAGCAGACACTGGTATGGATGGAGGCTCGACCCTTGGAGGACTTCTTTTTCACAGATAATCATTTGTGGTAGAAACCGGCCATTGACTGGAGGAGATTTTGGAATGGTTGATGCTATACTAGTTGAACGCAGTACTTTTTGGGAAAATATTGTTTATTAAACTAACCTGTAACCTGTTAGATACTGTGGCCCTCTAAAGTTTCCCAATACCTCTCCTTGTCTCTGAAACTTTCCTGATGCACTTGGAGGTTTAACATATTCCTGTTGGTGCATTGAACAGGCATATTATAATAAAAAATCAGTGTGGAATTGTGAAAATACTTAGTTTAAATAAAAGCACTCAAAAGAGCTTGATTGCAGAATTAATAACACGATAGTTCTAGGAAGATCTGCAGTGGCAAATTAAATACCCTGTCAATAGATGAAAATGAAAATGCTTTTCTGCATTATACATGAGGTACTGTTGGATATGTAGGGGTGTTACAGAAAATTGATGTTTAGCCAGGATATTCCAAATAGCAAATTAAATGCCTTTTCATCTGAATGTAGTTTATTTTCAGTGTGTTGGAAAGGGTACACTAAGAAATAGATCCTTTGTTTCTAGTTCTCTTATTTTTATATTTTTTCTTGTTACCTGAAAATTACTTATCTTATTTATGGTTTGAAGAATACATAATATATATATATATATATATATATATGTACACACACACACACACACACACACACACACACAAGAATATTTTTGGAGGGGGGAAATGTGAAGCTGCAATGCTTTGAATAAAATCTTGTAAGCGTAGTGACGTAACCTGATCAAGTATGAGTTAAAGCATCAGGTAAAAGATGCCTTATTTTTGGCCTCTAACAGGTGGGAGTCAATATATACCATGATACACTTTTAAGAATAAAACCAATTCCTGCAGTTTCTAAGAAGCTTTACGAATTCTGAATAGTTTGTATTAAAATGTGATTCTTATTCAATAATTAACTCTTTGGTCAAACATACCTACAGCCTTCAGATTGCCTTATATTCCAGTGTTTTCTGTTCACACTTGATTAGAACCTGTACAATTATCAGGGTCTTAGTATTTACATCAGTCTAAGAGCCTCTGAGCTTTTTTTCTACCCTTCTTATAAATGACAGATACTTACTGTGCACATGTTCAGATGAACTAAATTATAACAGTGATACATACCACTGAGTTACAAAGAATGTCCTATAGGCTTTTGCAGTGATTTAGCAGCCCATATTTGTGTCTCTAACACAGATACAACTGTATGTACGCACACAAACATGTATTTATGATTGCTGTGTTCTGCCAGAATGAACGTTCTTGGGGTTTATTTCAATGAAGCATTTTTCTGGTTCCTGTTTGGTTAGAGTACATTTGGGATAAAATTGCATCTCGGTTGTAGAAACTACTGGATTTACTCAAATTGATTTCAAATGTTAGGGTATTGCTAAACATTTAGTAAAAATACAACACATTTTTCAAAACTTTTTCTAAGAGGTTTAACACAGATTGAAGTTACCCTTTAGAACATTTTGATATACCTTAACTCAAATGATGGACACATGTAAAAATTTGTAGCTAATGCAATTTCTACAAATGTATTTGTCTTTTTGGTCAGATTGTGTCTCTGCCATAAAGCAACCCTCTATTTCTGATAAATGATTTTTAAACTTTAGTCAAGATGAAGACGACAAAATAAATTCTATGAATTTAAAGTTTATGCAACTAAATATTGTATGTATTTCAGTGTGTTATGCATGAAGTGACCAGGGAAATTGTATAATGCGTAGTTGAAAACTGCATTTCCATCATTGGAGTCAGGAGAAAAATGATCTACAAGTAGATTTTACTGTCTGTTCTATATATTTCTTCTATACATTGATTTCCTAAGACTTAATCTTACAGGATACAGACTTTTCATTGGTAGCTTAGGAATGTACCTTTTTTTCTAGCTTGATTAAAGAAATCTAATTTGACTCATTTATGTATTCCTTTATAAGTAGGTTACATAGAGCTGCCTGTGGTACAAAGCAGCTGTAGTACTTTAGAAGCTGAATTACCGTCTACGTTCTCAGAAGGGTGGTTAGTGTTATTTTTTAATTCTTTTGCCTGCCATCTGAAGATGCTTTATTTTCATTACTAGATTGTTTTTATCTGTTAACATTTAATACAAGGTTCAAGTTTGTTAATAATGAAACTTTATGAGTACATCCATTATTGGTTGGGAATAATAAAGAATATATAAATATTTTCATGTGTGTCTTGAATATTAGAACACCTCATACTTGATCTGTTTCTGTTCTGTGACACTGGGGACATCCCATATGCCAATCAGATAGTACTCTTTTACTGTAATGTTGGGATCTACTCCTATATATTCTATATTGTTTTAGTATATATGCTTATAAAACTGAATCATTTTTAATATAAACTATTTCCCTTTATGTTGCCTAAGTTAAAATTTGAATATGTTGCTTCTAGATTCATCAAATTATGATTGTAGTGATATCTAATTTAGGTGATTTAAAAAAACATTCGAAGTCTTTTATCCATTTATTTTCTTAACAGTGAAAAAGACTAAGTTAAAATTCTTTCAGTGAAGGAACTGCATTGCACCATTTTTGTTTTGACATGGGTAAAATTCAGTGGTTCATTTAACTTTTAGGGTTGACAATGTGTAAGAAATGCATACGTATATATATGTATACATACACAGATGAAATAAAATTTAATGTAGATGTTTTGTTTATACTGTTGATTTATTATGGCCATATTGACAATAAATACCTTGTGGACATCATTTTCCTCATAGCTTCTCAGAGTTACAAGCTATATGCTTTTCTTTGATATCAGTTGCAAAATCTCTTAGAAATTTATTGATGAACATTATAAGGCAAGATCAATACACTGATAGAGTGGTAACATGTAGAGGAAAATGCATTATTTTGATCTCAGAACTTGTTGGTTAGTGTAACGAGGTGATTACCACTCTCTGCAGCACTGATTTCACTGGTGCCAGAGAGTTGCTGGGCATGAAGCCTTTCTCTCTATAATCTTGAAGTTGTGACGTTTATGTTTGATATAATACCTACTGTTGTGGGTGACACTGTTTCACCTTTCCAAATCGTTAGGGACAAGAAACATAATGTTCACATAGATAGTAGAATTGCTTGAAAATTTGCTTTATTCAAATTTCTAATATGTTATTTTCATAGTAGGAATACTTTACACATAAGAGAATGTGTTTGGTATGCCGTAATATTTATGAACATATAAAAATACTTCTAACACTAATCTCACAAATGCAAATACTTTGTGACACAGGGTTCCTAGAAATATGAATTAGCATAACATCCCTTAGGTGTCTTCTTTAATTGTTCACTTTTATTCCATTTTGACATTGGATCTTCTATTACCGAATTAACAAATTGTTTAAAAATCATTTGCTTATAACATTGATGCTTTCCTGAATTTTATGGCACAACATCACTTTAAAATGTGTTATTTGAATCCTGTGTTTTAGAAAAATAGCTCATTAGAAATGCATGACATTGTAAGGCATGATCTAACATTACCTTGCAGACACCATGCCACATGATTTGAGGAATAGCGAACAGAGTTGGTGAAATAGTTGAATGTGTGTTTTGAGGATGCTTCACATTAATATACCAAGAAGAAGAAATGATCCATGGTATAGAAATGCTACGAAATTTGTGGTAATGCTAGAAACCCCTGACAATAAACCACCAGTCAACAACTTGCATATCATTATTTTGCTTTATCCAGTAAGATGACTTTATTTTAATGTAGTTTACACTAGTACATTATACCACCTGTTATCGCAACTTCATAAGCATCATTTATAAAACTGCGGGGTTCAGTCATAGTTGCTTTTAGTTGCATGAAGCTTTGAGGCACGGGCCCCAGGAGCAAGTGCAGTTTTCAGTCTAG